GCTCCGGCCCCGCGGCCTTCCCGAGGCCGGGAGCCCGCCGGACCTCTCTCCCGGGCATGGAGGCGCTTCCGGTGGGGCCGCGCTTCTCCTCACCGGGGAGGGGGGGCGGGAGCCGGGCTGGGTCCGGTCCCTCTCGCCTTCCTCCCCGCCGTAGGCGTGCGCAGCTTGCGCGGCTAATTGTCTGCGGCCGTAGTCGCCTGGGGGAAGGGACCGAGCGCGCAGTCTGCTACAGAGGCGTGATTTGGGTTTTGCAGCTCTGAGATTGTGTCTCTCTCCCGTGGGCAGGTTGTTGCCTTTTGGGATATTGCCACCGCAAGTTTTGTGCCTGCCCTGTTGCCGAGTGTAACTATAGAAACGTAGAGCGGGGGAGGAGAGCGAGGCGGAGGATTTCTTTCATCCTTCTGTTTTACCTTTTGTGTCTGGCAGCATACGGCGGTAAGGCTGATCGTAAATGATCGCCTCCTTGTTAAAGTCGTTTGTATTTCTGCTTGCTCTCTCCCCCACGAACAATGCTCATAAGCACGCTCGTTCGCTAAATTTTTTGCTACGTACCTTTTATTCTTCATGAATTTGTATCTAAGTATCGGGATAGTCTTGGACCCCTGAATTTGGGCTGGCGATACTTTTGTGTCTGCTGTTTGATTTCTTGGCTAACTAGTTGTCTGGCTGATTGTAACCATTTTTCTTCTCGATGGCTCTCTCTCTCTGTTTCTCACTCGAAAAAGCCAGATCAAGAAAACACTGGTTTAATGGCAGACCTTGAAATTCAGAATACCTCTGGTTCATGATTGCTTAAAATGAACTTGCTTAGCACTGGGATAGGGTAATGAGAGACATTTGCTGTTACCATCTCTCTGTCAGTTAAACCTCTTGGTGGAGAGGGTACCTGCTAAATTAGTACAAAAGTCGCCCGATAAGTTTCAGCAAAGATGATACACCTCTGGAGAGAACTTTTTTTTTAATTCTGTAGTTCTTGTGACAGAGCATTGTCAAGTCGCAGTCAAGGCTTGGCACCGTGCTCTGTCTTAAAGGCCAGTTCTGAATGAAATCCATATGCTTGCTTAAGTTATCTTGAAATTTTGTCACATAGGAGAGCTGGACATCATGCAGCGTTTCAGGTAGGAACAAGATACTGCTCTTGCCTTTCCTCTTTTCTGCAGTATTTTGGGAAATCAGCTAGTTCTTACTGTTTTCTTTTTTTTCCTTCATTCTGGGTTCTGGCTCTCTTCATGTTGACCTTAGTATCTCCATTTATCGCAGTTAATGTGCAGGACATACTGCCCTGCTCCTTTAGGTAATGAGAGCACAGAATATGTCTGTAACTTTACATTTTGGATTTCATGGCGTGTGCTCAGTCTCGTGAGTCAAGAAACTGAAAGAAATGTGTGGCAAGTCAAGAACACAAGGATTTTTAGTCAGCTTGTGTCAGTTGCAGTGTGCCTCAAGGAGGTTTGTGGTCACTGACTCTGGTGATTTATTGGCAAAGCTGTATTCACAGGTCCACTATGGGAGAGGCAGAAGTTGTCTTGATAAGAGAGATCAAACTAATTTCTTAAGAATAAGCTATAACATCAAGTGGATATATGAAAAACGAATGACCGAGTGCTTTTGTTAATAATTTTATGTGGGGCTTTTAACAGCATAATGCCAGTATCTATTTGTTAGAGGTAGTTGATGTGAATTTTAGGTTTTTTTCTCTAATAGATTAGAAAAACGTGCAGGAAACTTATTTATTCTGTGACATCTTACTCGTTTCTCTCCAGGGAAATGTTCCTAGCTTATAAAAGTTTTATGTGGCTCAGGGCAAAGACATACAAGATGAAGGTAGGCTGAGAGATGGGAAGAAGTGTTTAAGTGTCCTGGGGTGCTCAGAAGAGAGCAGTAAAAGAATAAGTGAAGATGAAGAAGGAGGAACTACAGGGAATGGGGCATTAGAAGGAGAAATGGGGAGAATGGATGACTGGGATAGAAAGAGTGGTAGGAGTCAGGTAGCCTGACTGTTGTTTTTTTTTTCCTAACATGCGTCCTAGAATATCGGTGAACTGTACACTCATATGGATTATATGCTCTCTTTGTATAAAAACTGTTTTGTGGTAGGACCCTGCTATCAGGTTGGTCGGGTCTCCCTGCTGAGGTATATTTATTATTGTGGCATTTTCCTGTTCCTCTGGGACTGTTTCATTGGGTTGAATAAGCTTTTCATGCCTCTAAGAGTTTTGGGGTTTTTTTGGTTGGTTGTTTTTTTTGTTTTGTTTATTTTTTCCAATGCGTGCCTAGAAGTCTGTATGCGAGATCCAGATGGGGAAAACCAAGATTTATTTTGCTCTTCTTTTTCCTCTTTCCCATTCATGTGGACACTCCTCAGAGTCCGGAGGTGTATCCTCTTTCTCATGGCTCATCTCAAGGCTGAGGAGCATGGAGAGCCAGGAACAGACCAGAATATTGACCAGGGGAGGGGTAGAAAGTGGTCTTGCAGAAGTATTCTGTGGGGGAGAGTATCATTTGCAAGAATGACTTTTACAGAGGCAGTGTTGAGTGGTGGTGAAGCCTTGGCAGAGGAGTCAGAATCACAGTGTAGCAGAGGGTCAGGACACTGGGAGAATGTGGATTAAGAGCTGCGTTTGAGGGTGTTTGGAGGGCCTTTCAGCTCCATCCCCTCCCCCTCCCTTAAATTTCAGTTTCATTGATTGACATTGTATTTATACAACCTGTATCTTCTGTAGCATCCACCTGCCTCGCTATCTCTGCCATGCCTATTCTTAAGTATTTCTGTGAAATAAGGAGGATCTATTATCCCTGTTCTTCCAGTTGGGGAAGTGAGATGCGGTGTCTAAATACACAAACGTAACAAGCTACCACAAGGTAAGATAGGGATGTGAACTTGCATCTTACCAGCTACTCCGCTGTAACTTCCTGCGTGCAGTGTTCTTGCTTTGTCGTAAATGGAAAGCAGCTTGCTTCACAACTGTGTTGCTTCATGTCTTTCACAGGCTGTTGCAGTAACAGTCGCTAGATGGCCATGAGTTCAGATCTTGACCTATTTTGCAGCGACTTGTTCGTATATATATTTCTTAAATGAGGTACATCCTAGAAATCGGTTATGGAGTAAGTGTAAATCATCTTCCCTCCTTTGTCCTCCTCCTTCAAAAGAAAAAAACAAAAACCAAAACATTACCTTCACGCTAGTTCTTCTTCCAACACCTCAGGTTGAATCTCCTGATGATGCTCTGTGTCGTGTGGGGTTTTGTTTTGGGGTGGTGTTTGTTTGTGTGTGTTTTTTTTAAAGGGAGATTCAGATTGTGCTGAGCAGAGAGGAAAATAAACTAGAATAGAGTATTTCAGTTGGAAGGGACCTACAACAATCATCTAGTCCAACTGCCTGACCACTCCAGGGCAGATTCAGAATAGCAGAAGGGGCCAGAGTGCAGGTATTCCGTTCAGTAGCAGTTGTAGTCATTGAAAGGACACAGTGGTAGAGAGTGCTAGGAGGAGGTAAACAAGAGAAATGATACCCCAAACTCCACATCCAAAACAAAACTGAATTGCCAGGTAGCCTTCCAGAATACGGGGTGTGATTAACCTTAACCCCCTCCTCCTGCCTAGTCTCACCCCCACAGCCCCCAAAACCAACCAACCACCACCAACAAAAAAGTCCAGGATATACAAAACTGGTATATTCTACTGCCATGGAACCTTAACTTTGTCTTGTTTGGTTGCTTTTTCTGAGACACTGTCTTCACTGTGTACTGGAAAAACTATTGTCACTGCAAAGCTACAGGAATTTCAGGTGGCATGGAGAGAGGTGTCTCCTGTATCTCTGTAGGGAAGAGACAGAATGGCTCAACTCACGCAGGTGTGATCAGCAGGGGTGATGTCTGACAGGGCAAACAGCTTTAATGCCATCGTCATGTAGTACAACCAGCAGTTGAAGAGTGTGCACGAAATGCTGCGTATCTGCTTATGAAAGTCTTTCCTCATCAGACCATCCTCAGTGGGCAGAGCTGAGATTATTGGGGAATGTGTTGTGTACCTTCACCTTGCCTTTATAATGTGGTAATTTTAGCTACCCTTGACGTCCTGCAAGGCATTTGCTTGCAGGTCAGTCCATAGTTAGGCATTAATGAAGTTTTGGGTGCTTACGTACCTAATAGCAACCTTGTGGGGCTTCCCCCCCCAGTCCTGTCACATTTATAAAAGCAATTTCAGAGCATTTAAGAGGGATGCAGTGAGATGAAAAAGTTGAGAATGAATAAGATAATCTGAATGGTGAGAAATAAAATAACAGTATGTTTAGGTACCTAGGAGAGAGACAGTATGAAGGAGAAGTGCCATCCTTTTGCAGTAAGGAGAAAAAGATGGAGGAGGTAAGCAGAGAAATGGTAAAGGCGCAGATAGTCAAAAAAAGGTAGTACAAACTAATAAAAACTAAGGTGAATATACTGACTGGAAAGTGTCTGGAGAAAGGATGAAGGACACATTTATGTGCAAATGGTGAAAAATTCTCTGATCTGGAATTGGTGAGCAAGAGAGACATCATCCTAGAGCCCGTGACGACTTTCTTCCTTTTTGGAATGGCAATTCGTAATTTCTTAGTAAGAAACCAGTGATGTATGTAAAATGTTGTCTAGAACTATGTAGGTCACCAAAGAATGGATGTTAAAATGCTACAGCCGTTCTTTGAAGCTGCTTCTGTTGCAGTCTTACGTAAAGTAACTTGTTTGTGCTTCATCCGCTTGGTTATGTCAGCACTTCCCTTTGTGCCTCAGCTCTCTACAGAAGCTCGGTTTCAATGTTAAGCATTTTTAAGTTCCTAGCTTCTTTCTTGAGGGAAACCCTTTCTGTCCTTGTTACTAGTCTTGAGCACTTAGAAGGGAAGTCTCTTTCCATCATCTGTTTAATAATTGCATTTTCTGTCTAGCTAATGATTCTTCAAGAAATTATTATTGAGCTTTCAAAAATCCTTAAGCCATATATATTAATGGGCACAGCAGTAACGTTAGCTAATCTGTTCTCCTGGCTTTGGTGGTGTCCAAGTGTTGTGTTGGAGTTTTGCACGGGGCTTTTGTGCCATCCTGGGAGTTGGAATTACTGAAAGATTCCTTTGTAAGTGGAGAAATGCTGTTAATGGTTAATCTGTATGTGAGCAGATGCTTTGATGTAACCTTTGTCTGTGAGCCATCTGTAGCACATGTAGTTTTCAAGATACAGTGACTGTGAGATCTTGGTCAAAATCCCACGTTTTTCAGCTCTGGGAAGAAATTATGGCACCAGTTGGATGAGTTGTATATGTTCTGATCTTAGCTGTGGAGGCGCTTTACACTTAAAGACATGTTTGATTTTTCATGTGGTCTAGTGCTTTTATTTCTCCTTCTTTTAGAGGAAATCAAGGATTGTTCTAGATTTGTGTGATACTGCAGCTTGGTAGCTGCAAAACTTGTTTGATGATAATATGTATGTCTGCCCTTCGTGAAGACTTTTTTGCACTCAAACATATGCCTGTGGCACATGTTTGTGTCTTTCACCAATACGCTCTATGAATGTCAGGTTGTGGCTTCCTGGCTCAGGACTGACTTACGCTTGGTTTTTGTGCTGCTGTTTACTGCTGCTCATTAGAAACTGTTTTGACTAAAGCAGAGGCCCTCTGATTTGGCTATTTATAACCTCAATGGTTTTATCTGTATACATTAGTTTCTGAAATGCTATGTAGATAAGTCCTTAAATCTCAGTCACTTGCCATGAAATTCACTTTTTTGTGGGGGTTTTGTGGTTGTTTTTTTATTATTTTTTTTTATTTTATTTTATTCTATGCTTCTTGAGCATCTGCACAAATTACTACAATAGCAGCAGTGTTACAACTTTGGATTCTTGCTAAATCTCCTACTATACAACACCCTACTAAAGGACGCTTTCTATGTGGTGTTACGGGAGAAGGAAATTTGGCTTGGAAAGCCAAGTGTTGCTTAAACTATAAAAGAAAGCAGAATTTGTATTTGTTGATGGTTCTGAGAATAATTCCAGCTGCAGAAGTGTGGACACCTGTATATGTGTGTATAACTCATGTATAATGGATTTGAAGATGCAAGTATAAAAGTCTTAATTTTTGAGAGAGTTTGTACAATTAGAAAGATTTATATCTTCAGTAGGCAAGCTTAAATGGACTGCTAATAAATAAAAATACAAAGGGATATGCATGACAAAGAAACGTGAACTGAAACTATAACAGAAGATTGACGTGGGAAGGGGAGGGAGAGAGAAATACTGTTCTGTTATGATCCACTCTCTGAAAAGCTTGACTTGATGTATGGGGGTGCTAATTAAGTAAGGTAGCTCTTTGTAATGAATCGTTGCCTCAGTGAGAAAATCATTGCTTGTATTTGCCATCTGATTAGATAGAAATATTTGTAGGTGAGATTTCTTAAATGCATTAAAGAAAAGAAAACAAAAGAAGAGAAAATGCATACCCCTAGCATTAACTGGGATCTTCATATAGTAACAAGTATGCAGGGCAATGAATAATTGATTTAATAACTTCTGATTGTTCTGTAGACTGTGAAGTAAAGGTGCCTGCTATCTTAACACCTTAGAGTAATAGACTTTGCAGGAAAAACTGGTAATTATTGTAGTTTTCTTTTGAAGGTCTCCTTAGTTGCTTCTTTCAGCTTTGAAAAGTGTGTGTATAGAGAACATACAAGCCGAAAAGAAAAACCTCTGTGTAATTCTGTTCCTTCTGCAATTGCCTAAGTGTTTGCAGTTCAAAGTATTAACCTTTTATGACTACTTTGATCACAACTACTGCTGTAGGCCTCAGCTGATTAATTCAGGATATATGGTATCTTATGCAAATATCACTAGTGGTGTTTTCCCACAATTGTCACAGCTCTCATTCAAAGAAACGTCTTCCCACTTAAAACTCTTTCATACTGCAAATGAATAAAATGTAAGCTAAGCGTAAAAAATTACACAGCAGTTTGTTCTGACATCTGACAAAGTCTGAAGTGCTGGCTTTTGGTTCAAACAGAATGATCAAATCCTTGATTTAAAGAAAAAAATACATAATTGTTTTGGGAGAGCTGTGTATGGAACACAGGAATTAAACACGCAAGACTCAATTTGTAGTTATCTGGAATGTGTTTTTTCCTTGAATCTGTAGTTCAAACAGCTGGGGAAGAGAGGAATGTCTGTAGCAGTAGTAGCAATCATTGTGGTTGATTACTGGAGCTGAATGCTCCTTTGTGCTACAAATGAGAATCTCTCTCTAGTTTCAGAAGATGCTGTACTACTACTTATGGAAAAAAAGTGAAAAATCAACAAGACTTGATCTGTTAGATAAACTCATTGATGTAGTTGCTAAATTTTAATACATCAACTTTACACTGCTGTAACATGTATGAAATTTGGGTGCTGGTAATTACAGTATATTTTAGTGTGCCCTTTATTATCTCTAATCTTTCTTTGTTTATCTCTCATTATTGGCTTCCATCATTTCATTCTTTTTTTTTTTTTTTTTACCCCTGTGTCTTACAATATATAAGGTAAATTTCAGCCCTACTTCAGGCTTTGCATGGAAAGATGAGCTGGTTCCAACTCGAATTCTTCAGTCACACAGAACTGAGACTGTCTGAAGTCATAGCAGTAGCTCTGAAAAATGTTCACAGTGGGAATTCTGTGTGCTAATGTACAACAGCTGAATCTTTTAATGGTAGTCAACCTTAGGGTGAAAAGAGAGAGCATGCCCATATGTACAGAAATTGTGAGTTTTTAAAAACATGTATGAAGAGTGTTCAGAATTAGAAGGGAGGTTGGGTTTATTTCAAGTATAGTATGGAGCTGGCTGGAGCTGGCGTTTTCTTGCATTGTGGGGCACAGGTCTTCATACATTAGAAAAATACTAAGTTTTCGTTCAGTTTACTGATGGCCCTTGTTTGTTCTTGCTTTTTTATCCCCCCATCCTGTCTCAGACAAATGCTGGCATAAACAAACAGGAAGAGCGTCAGAAACATTTTAGCTATTGTGCATGTCCAAGTATTTTTTTTTATGCTTTCAATGAATAGGGTGGAAGACCTCCTGCAATTCAACCAAGTGTTAAATAGGCATTTTTTTATATTAGAAAAATCTTGCCTGTGCAAACTCAATTAATTAAATCTGCAAAGCATTTTATTTTAAGTAGATTTCAGCAACTGAACTTGGCAACCTGTTTGGAAAGAAAATTTAAATTATTTAAAATATGCTTGGATTGTGCATTTAGATGGCTGCTTCTGGACCCAGTGTAGTGTCTGCCAAATATTTAATTTTAGTTAATGATAGCAGTATTCCTTGTTCTGTGTTGAATTTTAAAATGTCATTTCGTTGCTAGGATGCTGGGGGAAGTCATCACAAAGTCTCTGTTTCTCCTGTCGTCCATGTCCGAGGGCTGTGTGAATCAGTTGTGGAAGCAGACCTTGTGGAAGCTCTTGAAAAGTTTGGAACCATATGGTATGTCAAGCAGTATAAAGTAATGTCTCTGGACAAGCTGGGAGCATTATTTAAAAGTCTCTTGGACCTCTTTAAATAAGTTATGATAGCCATTTGAAATCCAGAACTTAGTAAAGCATAAAGATTTTCTAGCTGTGTGAAGATTCTCTCTTTCTGTACGTGGCAAGTCTGGTCAAGCGGAGTTACACTGTCTGCATGCCCTGGTGTCTGTTATCAGACTTCAGTGGCACAGCTAGTCCTGGCCTTAATATGAGCTGTAGCTAAACTGAGTTGCAGAACAGCACGAGGGTGGTTGTCATGATATGAGTGAATATGCCAAAAACAAGGATAGGCCACAGAGCAGATGATGCTTTTTCCTGTGGTTTTGTATGGGAGCAGCGCGTGTGATATGGTAGGACCTTCAAGAATGAGATGGTTACTCAGAGAAAGTAAGTTAGTAAGTGATTAACTGTTTGTTGTATTGGTTGAATGTTTTTATGCATTAAATGATTAAACTTTTTTAGGAAAAGAACTGCTTATTACTTATCTTATAGCTGCATTTCTTTGTTTTGTGCAAATGCTTTAGAAATGTGTTGACTGGGTTTAGGAAGCATGAGCAGGGAGATTTACCTTCCTTTGATGTCCTTGTTAGGAATTGTTTAGAAAAAACACAGATGATAGTTATGGGACTTTGGAGTTGTTTTGCGTAAAGCATATAGGAAAACTTACTGTAATGTTTCTCTCACCAGCTATGTCATGATGATGCCATTTAAGCGCCAGGCTCTGGTGGAGTTTGAAAATGTAGAAAGTGCGAAGAAATGTGTAACATTTGCAGCAGATGAACCTGTATACATTGCTGGACAGCAAGCCTTTTTCAACTACTCAACAAGTAAGAGGATTACTCGGCCAGGGAACACTGATGACCCATCTGGTGGAAATAAAGTTCTCCTGTTGTCAATTCAGAATCCTCTCTACCCAATTACAGTGGTATGTTTCTTCTTCTTTTTTTTTTTTTTTAAATAAAATAATAAAAGGCAGGGAGCCGCAATCTCTGTTACATTATTTCCATTGTGTACTATTTGTTAAAATTGTACACTGTTAATTTGAGTCAGGAGTTAAATTCACCTACCAAAGCTTTACACCATCTTCACATAAGTAACATGCATGTTCTGGAAAAAATGTTTTCGAGGTGATTAAGTCTCGTTGTACAGATATTTTGCAATGCATTTGAAGACTTCAGTGGTCAGGATTTTGAAATGTTTAGGTTGCTACATGCTTCTGAAATATTTCCAGATGTGTTGCCGCAACATCAGGAATGTCATTTAGCTTTTAGGTTCTGAGTGGTGTATGTTTAAATAGCCAAGTAGTTTTTCCAGTAGGAGGGGTTATTGTATTGCAGTCCTTCATTCTTAAGTATTTCCTCTGTGGAGAGTTGAAACCTTCATCTGTTGATGATCAACTCCAGTTTGATGGAATCTTCCTCACTTTTATTTGGGCTGATACATTTTACTTTTCAGCATTTCAAGTCATACCATATATACAGTTGCATCCTAATTTATTGCCATCTATTTATGGCATGTGTGCATGTTTTTTTAATGATACAGGTATTTTTTGCTAGCATTTAAGAATGCATGTTTTCTCATGCATTGAATACTTATATTTTTCATAAAGATTTTATAGCACACGAATTGCACAGGAATATTTCAGGAAAAAATTAAAAAGTCTGCTTTAAGCAGACTTGTAATACTGTGATACAAGCATAAGTTACTTGTTCTTAGGGAAATACACAGGATAATATGGATCAAAGTGGGTTGTGTGGAACCATGTAACTTAATGCAAGTACTAAGTTGTGTTTAACATGCCGTATATTATGTTAGCAAATTGATAGAAGCTTAGCATTCTTGAAATTACTTCAAGTAGTCAGTTCCATATCATGCTTTTTGCTTCACTGTATTGTGAATATCGATAGGTTTTTGCCTGTTTCATTAGTGGATGACGAATTTTCTTTCTCCTGTCAGTTTTCTTTATAGAAAAGCATGGCAAGGTATGAGTTGCTTTTTCATCAGTTTTTAAAAATATACCTGCTTTGAGCTGTGTGAACAAATCCACTAAGTTTAAGTATTCTTTGCATGTGACTACAATACAAATTTTGGCAACTACGTTTCATTCATGCATTTTAAATTTGGCTTGTGTAAGCAGCTGAGTGGAACGTAGATGCTTGAGGAAACTAGTAGCAGAAGCATCGTTCTGGGCTAGGAGAGTTTCATGGAAATTCTGAGGATGAAGTCTCTAGCACAGTAGCTCCTTTTTGAAAACAAACAAGCAAGAAATACCTGCCTGCCCCCAGCTGTTTGCAGACAGATTTCCAAAATTACTTGCAGGCATCAGAGCTCGTTGAAAGTAGTGTAGACTAGTAGAGTCATAGCAGCCGGGAAGAGCAATTGTACCCTAACAGGTAGGAATGTGATGAGAAAAAAAAAAATTTTGCGCTTGGCCAGTGGGTTAAAGAAACAGTTAAGAATGTCTCAGGCAGTCTGCATTACTAACCCACCCCACCCCCAACAAACAAAAAAAAACCATCAAAAAAACCACAAAGCCCAACACCACCTCTTCCTCTTCAACACATTTCTCTCCTTAAATTTGAACTACAGTTGGATGAAATAGATGAAAAATTGCAACCAGTTTTAAGTGGCAAGTCCAAATAACTGCAATAAACTGTTCCATAGTTCTTAAGAGCTTTTCCTTCAAAACAAGATACAGTTTTTGCATAGAAATTGGTCTGCTCAAGGGCATCTTGTGGAAAAAGCTAAATTGTTCTAAAATTTTGCTGCAGCTTATTTCCTCCATTACAATTGTGACCTGCTTCTTTCCTAGCAGAATTTTTTTAGAAGGGTGTGGTAGTGAAGGGCAAGTTAACTGTCTTTAATTCTTAATTGCTTTCCACCCCTTTGTGGTGGAGGATTGGTGTTTTGAAAAAGTTTTGCCTAAGGTGTCCCATACAGGTCTTTGAAGTTCTGTCTCCCGGTTTCCTTATCTGTGGGCAGAACTTTGTCAGGCATTTGTCCGTAAGAAGAGACAAATTTGTCTTGTTGAAACAGACTTTCTCAAAGTGACTCCTGCTGCTGCAGTTGTTACTGTCTGTTCAGCTATACCTCTGCTGTTGCCGTTTAGTTCTCGCTTACCTTCTAAATCTTCTGTACATGCATGAGGAAGGTGTGGTATGCCTTGGCAATTGAAATGTCTTAAACTTAACTGTCAACTTCTTCTGAGATTAGGTTGCTACACCTCCTTTTTTGTGATAGTCTAGTAAGTACATAATGCTAGTGTTAATTTTTTACTTAAAATATCCCATGTTACTGTATCTTGTGAATTGCTTGCTTGATTTGGTAATCTAAAGTAGCTGAATTAAACAAAAAGTTGTGTGTGTGCCTGGTGGCTAATGACACTGATGGCATTTTGAGTAAGAGTTTACATTTTGAAAGACAACTTTTTTTTTTTTAATTAAGTGGCTGTGAAGAGATCTTTTGAGACAAATTGTGAAAAATAGTCATATGCCTGAAAATAAATGTCACCTGGAGCTGGAAAGTTTTCAGGACTCTCTTCTCCCAAACAAGAGGAGATGGAGGGCAGCTGTTTTTGCTATTGAGTGTGCATAGAAAATACACCTATAAATGATGTCATAAGTCTTATTTTTTTAGGGGTTCAGGCTGCTTGAATCCTTTCTAAAAATGTCTGTTCAACTTCTGAAAATCTTAAGGTTGACCATCTCCTCTGCTTGCTTCATTTAGCTACGCAAAACATTCACTAGTGTCTGGAGTAGGGCCCCTGAGCATGGACAATGTTTTTGGTTTGTTTTGGTTGGGTTTTTTTGTTGTTTGGTTTTTGTTGGTTTTTTTTTTTTTTTTTTGTGGTAATATGCCAGTATATTAAAGCTTATGGTACTTTATATAAGCCAGGAGTTACACCACTGCAGCTGTAGCCAGCAATAAGACATCCTCTTTTTCTAGTTTCTTTTTGTGTATGTGGGGGTGTGTTTCTTTTGTTTTTAAGAAATCCAGCATGCACCCCACCACTTTGCCTCCCAATTCCTCTGCTATTCTGCAGGACATAATAATAAATACTGTATCTACTTCCTCCCCCCCCCCCCTTGCCCCCCAAATAGACCTGAGGACATACACTAAGATCTTGGAATGAGCGCTTGGAAGTATTTCGTTTAGATAGAAAGAAAGGAAGGAAAAAATAGATTGTGGTAGATTGTTTCACTGAGCATGCCTTTGCTTGCTAGGTTTACCTATGAAACTGGCTGTCTAGTAAAGCTTATGTGCTTTTCAGCTGTTTGAACATGATCTAACAGGTGAATTGTTTCAAGAAATCACAGTCCTGTTTGTTCAGGTTCTCAAGCCTGAGTCTTGGGAGTATGGGTGTATAATCACTCTAAAATAAACTTACTTTTCTTGGCCAAATTCATGCTGGAGACTAGTTTCTGGTACCGTGATGTCAGAATTGTGTGTAAATGGCTGTTGTTTGAGATTACTCCTAGCACATCATAAGCCTGGCCTGATGTGCAGTAAGGCGAGCTTTTCTTGTTACTGTTTGGTTCCCCTGCAGCACTGAAGACGGTCTTGAATTTTATTGGTTCCTTGTAATATAGACAAATGCTGGTGAAAGCAGAGTGTTAACAATGAGTTTGCACGAATCCAGTGTTTCCTGTCAGAAACTTTCTCTGCCTTAAGTGGAGAAGCACAGTAACCACTTGCAGTGTGTTTGATTCAGGTGAATACGATTGAAAATCTCCTTTTGATAAGCTACCTAAGCTTAAATCGTGGACTACCCCTGACTACTCTTCTGAAAATGAACATGAAAAATTAAAAAAATCCTCAGCTGCTAGAGTCTTATGAAATGAAATGTGCTATAACTACAGTGTCATTTTGTCTCTCTTTGCTTTGGTAAAACTACTGCAGTGCATGCTTAAAAGGGAGCACAGCTTGAGACATGGATGCAATTATTGGGTTTTAACACAGTTGAAGATACTTGTTTAACTAATGTTTGCATGAGTACTTCTTATAGAAGCTTTCCTGTTTTTCAGATTTGACTGCCTGTACTATATTAATCCATAAAAGTGCTAATCATGAATGTATAAATTGTATAGAGAAAATTATAAATGAAAAGTTAACAAGCCTTTTCTTTGCTCTCTGGCATTGAAATGTCAATGCAAGAAAATGTTCTGTGGACCTAAAGTGTTTGAAATTTCACATCTGACTAAAGTATTTCTTTCTTCTTTCTTAGGATGTCTTGTATACCGTGTGCAACCCTGTTGGAAAAGTTCAGCGCATTGTTATATTCAAGAGAAATGGAATACAAGCTATGGTTGAATATCCTTTCTGAGTGTTTTTGGTTTTTTTTTTTGCTGTAGGTTCTTAACTGCAGATGGGATTTAATGTGAGAATGTCAGAAAAATACTGTGTAATTTTGAGACCAATTTTTTTTAATTTCTGTCTAAGACGTGGTAATTTCCAATTTCTCTGTGTCTGCAAGACAGAATAGCACTTGAACATTTCGTCTTTATAGGAAAATGACAGTGTCAACAGTGGTCTTGATAATGATGTTTATAAGTGGCCCTAAAGCGAGTAATTGCAGACAGGAAATATGTCATAGATTTGACAGTGCATTATACACAAAAGTTTCATGGCTTCTGCCTGTGTTGATACTCAGGAAATGGGTAAAGGATTGCAGAGGTGCAGTTTGACTTCTTCAGACTCTTCTAAAATAGTTCTAATATATACTGCTTGGTTTATTATTCTGGCTTTAATAAAGCACGAGACCAACTTAGGCCTCCTTGATGTGTTTATCATGTGTTGAGGAAATTTCCTCCTCTGTTATCCTACTGTTTACTGTATTTGTAGCATTAAGTTGTACATGGGATGAATGTTCAGAGTCGTTGATGTGTTACTGTGGTTTGCAAAGTCCAAAGTCTGATGTGGTTACGCCTTAGTTTATAAAACTCTGATAGCCCTCTTCACAGAGACTGATGACTCTCCATTTCCAAGCTGTTATTTGGACAAAATTGTACCAACATATCAAATTCTTCTGTGATTTCAGATGCTACTGATGTGGCAGGCTTTATTAGTGGGTCACTTCTGTAATGTATGACTTAACCGGTGGCTGCACTGATGATTTGCCAGGCAAAAAGAATTACCCTAACTTCCATAAAAGCAAGCTGTTTATCTATGTAGAAGACTTAAACTGTGTGTCCTAACAGACAGTATTTTGACTTACTATGGTAGCGTGTCAAGTTTGTGGTAAGTGGTGTTGCCTGGATCAGATGACTTGTACAGTTGGAGGTTATTCTGCATCTTGTGAAAGATTAGGGAAGTTCTGGGGAGGATCCTGCACATAGTCTGAAACTGCCATGCTTCTGTCCTTTGAATTGAAATCTGCAACATGTCTTTCACTAAAAACAAAAACAACCAGCAATTGAAAGGAAACTCACAAATGTGAGCAAAGTAATGCAGCAGTTTGGGATGGGGGTGGGGAAGTGAGCTTCAAGACAAGCCTTGTTTGAAAAGTTCAAAAATTTACTCAAATGCCAATGCTAATTGCAGTACCCATTACTTTTGCAAATGTGCTCCCACAGTTCTAGCCAGTGTCAAAACAATTCCTTAGAGGTCTGGGAAGCTTAACTTTTCTCACTCTTAAATTCCACAGTGAACCTACATCATGTTGGAAGAAGTTGGGCTGTAGGAATGTGGTAAAACACAAGGGATATGCTATTGATACAGACTACTTCAAAAATTTCACTAAATTGTATCAAAGGATGGTGCAAAATGTCTGGTCTGCTGCAAGGTTTGGGCTTTCTGACGCTGTATGTTTTTGAGTATGTATGAGATTGTAGATTGCCACGTGCCAAGGCTCAGGTACATTTTTGTGCTAGTCACAGAACTCATCTTGGTGTATGAGGAGGATATGAAATAACCTGTATGTTGGAGCCTGGTACTTGCATCTGCCTTGAGCAGTGGATTTAAAGCAATCTGCGTGTTGTATTTTTTGATGCAAGATGATCGTTTGTTCATTCAAATTATCTCTGAGTTCTGTGGTTTTATTTGGCTAACAAGCTGAAAAGGGCATACTGTTTCTTAGTTCTTTTCGCTGTAAAGTAACTGCTGAGTTCATGTTCTCCCTACCCACAAGTCTCTAGCTAATGCTAGCTGTGAGAAGGGATGCATTGTCTTAAGTCATGCCTTCTCACCCCTGAGCTCTGATGACTTCCCAAATGATGCAGCTTGAACTTTCCCTTCAAACTTTCCCTTCAAATATTCTCTAGGCTTGCTGGTAACTTTCTGTGTCCTCTGATGAAAGTTACTAAATCCACCAGGATACCCCTTTCAAACAGCCTAAGCTCAGAGCATGAATAAAGCTTGCATCTTTATAATCCACACTGAAGAATTTACTAATTTATATAGAATGGTGTCGTCATGTGCTACTTACATCTCAAAAACAGGTGCTTAACAGAAGTTGAACCCATATATATACACACTTGTTGGTAATTTTATATTAAAGTCTGTATAGAGTTCTTGTAAGGCATACAATAGTGAAATATCTGTAGGCTACAAAAATAAAGCCCTATCAGCAGAAAGGGACATGGATGAGACACCTGGTGAAAAGAAAACCTTAACATGATGTGTATGTTTGAATCAGTGTTTTGTGCCCAGAAGGCGAAGGCTGCACTCAATGGAGCAGATATCTATGCAGGGTGCTGCACACTAAAAATTGAATATGCAAGGGTAATGCTTGGACCTTCTCTTTTAATTTTACTGGAAAAACTATATATATATATATATATGACTTAACCTTTTTCACTTTTACTTTGTTTGAACAGCCAACTCGACTTAATGTCATTAGAAACGACAACGATAGTTGGGACTACACTAAGCCGTATCTGGGCCGACGAGGTAGGTTTTCGTATGTTATCACTGTAGATGTTTGACTGTACTAATGACAATCCTTTATACGTGGTCAGGCTGTATGGCAATAGTCATTTCAAAGCAAGCCAGTGCTGCTGAAGGCTGTGTTCACACGCCAGGGAAGTAACCCTGAGCCCTAGGGCCCCCTACTGCCGTGTGCTTGAGCCACTTAGTTCAACAAGGAGCCCACACCTGCAAGCACCTTCGCAGTTCTCAAGGACTTGCATTTCTCCAAGCAGCTCTCTCTCTTTGGAGGAGAGGAAACCTGGTACAGACTATTCCTTACAAACTACAAACTTGCACACTGCTTCTCCTTCGAAAGAACTCTTTTCCCCTATGTTGGACGAGGCATTAAGAAGGATAGAGGACTTCAGCAGGCTGACTCTACACTTCATCATGCACCACATCGGCATCAGCAAAAAAAAAACCAAACCAAACAAATAAACAAACAAACCCTCTGAAAAAACTCAGACTTGCAATTCACCTTGTCTGCATACTGCATGCACCACCACCACAAGTTTTTAAAGGAGGACCTTTCAGTACTTCAGATTTGTATGGGATGAATAACATGATAGACTGGACCCATTCTGTTCAAGTTTGTATGTATGCTGGTCTTATTTCCCTTAAAATTACAATTGAAAAATTGAGAACCTCCAAAATTAAGAGCCTCTTGTTGATATCATTGACGTTGTAATCTTTTTTTTTACTTGCTGTATGTGAGAGTTGCATTCAGTCTTAACAGTGTAAATATTGTCTAGTAGTAGGGAAGTTTAATACTTATCTGTAGATAGTTGGAACTGAGCAGTGCAATATCAGATAGGTCCCCTCAGTTATACTTAAGTATTAAAATAGGGAGATTCATAATTGGTACAGGCATACTGTCTCTTTAAGTACTCAGCTGTAAAAATTACCAGAGCTTAACTCGTGTCAGTGAAAGCTATAACTATATATGTAAAGACAAATTGCTGTGTAGCCTAACTCCTGTAAAGTGTTTATTTTGGAAAAAAAAAAAGTCTGTAACTATTGAGTGCAGTGTTCAGTAACTTATGTACAGTAATGTGTGCAATGTAAAGTTAGAAAAGTGAAGACAATGTGTCCAAGATAGAGTATCTACCTATCAAAGGCTATATGAGAACCAGGGCTTTGGCCGTCTCAAGTGATACGCACTTTCAGAGTAATTCTGCAGAGACGCTGGGCTTGTAAACCTGTTGTACAACTTAAAACTTAGGGCTTGAATTTTCAAAATGAAGTTCTTGTAAAAAGTTAACAAGGGAGCTACAGTATTGGTTGCAGCTTGTAGATTATGACTATTTGTATCAGGATTCAAATTTTTTCTCAAATTCCTGAGTTAAAAAAGGGATTTTGAAGAAACTCAAGGGCAAGAAAAAAATCCGAAGGTTTGAATTCTGAAAATCTGAAGGATTAATTTGACCCTCATATCTTTTGATCAGTGCAGTGTTTGGAGGCTGACTTGTAACATTGTGCATCTAATTACATTATGTAATTGGTCTGCAGATAGATATGGCTGTATGAACTAAATGTTCCCCAAGCTAGAGAAAACAGTGGAAAATGAAAAACTTATGATAGGTATGGCTTGCTCTTTCTCAAGAACTCTCACTCTACTCTCTTGTTTTCCTTGTTACTTTGACAGTCTGTCTCTATTTTCTATATGTCACTCTACTACACATAAAGAGGAAAAGAATTAGACTTGCATTATATGTATTTATATCATGCTATACTGTATATAGCATGAGTTTTCATTTCCTGTGGCCCACATCCATTTATCTAGGAAATGGGAATATAAATTGTTGAATGAATACTGAAATGTGCTTGAAAAAGCAGGCATCTAGAGCAATTTTGCCCATAAAGTAATCCAGGACAGAGAGAGAGTGTGTTTTCATATTTGTGTTTCAATTTACTCTTGCAGCAGCATTGTTTGGCTTTTGAACCTAATGTGACCCAAACTGTAGGGATCTGACTGCAGCAAACAAGATCATAGCCCAAAGGAATTTTCATTCTGAGGACAGGCATGCTAATATATCCTTTCAGAATTTCACATCCCCCCTCAAATTTTAGGAAGGAAATGCATTTTGCTAATGTGTTTTTTCTTAAAGAACTGTTTTTAGTTCTTTATGGTAACAAATTACAGACTTCCCTGTAGTATTTCTCCGTTTAGGTAAACTTCCTAATAAGTGCTTGCTGCTATGAACCCATATTCCATTAGATTGAACCCCCCAAAAATGGCTGACTTTTAGTATTCTACTTGCTTTTAGCCAGAAAGTTCAAACTGTAGTTTGGAGCATTTCTTTTGGTGGTAATACCAGCATATGCAGTGACTCAAGGACCTGATTTAAAAACAAAACCAAAAAAAACCACAAACCCCAAACTTAAAGTAGATTATAAAGAATCTTTCCTTTCAGAGTTATTTTTAACACAGATCAGTTCTCATGTTTCAATGCTTGTTTGCACAAGTATTTGTACTGGCACAATTGAGGGACTTTGTTCAAGGAAGGAACGAGTATGGGGCAAGGAGAGAGCAGTGGACTACACCATCACGAGGCGGAAGTATTTGTCAAACTGTGGTCTCCCAGAATTCTTTATTTGAAAGAATATGGTCCTTTATTATATTACTCTGTGCAGTTTCAAAGGATTTAACTCCACAGACTGGTATTATAAACTTGATTTTTCTGAATGATGATTACTGCATACAGTTTAAATGCTCAAAACACTTCATCTGACTGCCTATTTGCTTTTTAGAGCCAAGAACCAGAGCTGTTACCCTGAAAAGGGAATAGAAAAACAAAACTTGACAAAAGTAATCTTTCTTCTATATATTTGAAGGCATTCAGCACGGTTCTCTCTTCAGGCTTTATTGCCAAAGTAAATATCTGACTTGGAGCCTGTCCTCCAAATACTGAGCTGAAAGGGCACATGTGTTTTCATCTCCCACTGTTGTGTTTTCTAATGCAAATAGTTGCTGTTCTTCAGGGGAAATACCTCCAGCTGCACCGGGCTGGAGTTGCCATTTTCAGCAGTCATACCTAAATTTCCTGGGAACTGTTGTAAACTGATAAATGTCTTCTCCACCTTTTCAACGTGGCTTTTTTAATTATAAGAAATCAGTTGTTGCTTACCACAAAAAAATCTGGAAGTTTAGATTTTCTTTGTCATGCAGCATGGACCTGATTAGAAAATACAGCTTTGGCTGTGATGCATTGCTTTCCTCCAGTAATGTAGACCCCTTGCTTAACTTTATATCCTAGAGAACTGGGTTTTCTTAAAGGATTGACCGTTGTTTAAGTGCATTATTCAGTGATGTTTTTCTTCAGTTGAACTGTTATGTGCTGCTGATAATGCAATAATGTACAATCCTTTCAGCACGCCCATAAATCAGTAGGTGTTCTGTAAATATATATGTACACATATGTAATGCTCTCTGTTTACTGATTATGAAACCATGTAATACAGGTTGTTGTTGGCTTATGCTGAAACTTCTTGAAAGAAGCCCACTTTGAAAATGTGTTGCTGTTGAAGCTAATATTATGATTCAGGTACTGTCTTTCAAAAGTACTGCATTTCAAATTTGTTTTAAGAGACACATAGGTAAATCCTGCTGTATGGTGTTATCTATACTAATGTGTGGTGTCTGTTTAGGAAAACTATTGGGTATATCCATAAACTTTAAATGTCTGCATCTCCTCATTGGCTACTGCCCCAAATCAACTTAAGTGCAATTTGTTATACAGAGGCAGTCATTTAATTTTGGTGTCCCAGGGCTACAGCTTGTGGTTTTAGCCGTATAATGAATGAGAAATTGTTTATAAAATTAACAAGGACTCAAATTACTTTTTTGCTTCTTAACTAGAAGCTTTGTGTCTTAACTGGAGAAATCAAGTGTATAGTTGTGCATACTAAACTGTTTTCTTTCCCTTCCCACATGTTAGACAGAGGGAAGGGTCGCCAGAGGCAAGCTATTTTGGGAGAGCACCCATCATCATTTAGACATGATGGTTATGGTAAGTAACATAGGATGTGTCCTGGTTTCAGCTGGGATAGGGTTAACTGTCTTCCTAGTAGCTGGTACAGTGCTATGTTTTGAGTTCAGTATGTGAAGAATGTTGATAACACTGATGTTTTCAGTTGTTGCTCAGTAGTGTTTAGACTATAGTCAAGGATTTTTCAGCTTCTCATGCCCAGCCAGGGCACCTGACCCAAACTGGCCAACAGTGTATTCCATGCCATGCGACGTCCCATCTAGTTTAGGAACTGGGAAGTGGGGGGGCAGGGATTCGCTGCTCGGGGACTGGCTGGGTGTCGGTCGGTGGGTGGTGAGCAATTGCCCTGCGCGTCATTTGTACATTTCAATCCTTTTATTACTACTGTTGTCATTTTATTAGTGTTATCATTATTCATTATTAGTTTCTTCTTTTCTGTTCTATTAAACCGTTCTTATCTCAACCCATGAGTTTTACTTCTTTTCCCGATTTCCTCCCCCATCCCACTGGATGGGGGGGGAGTGAGTGAGTGGCTGCGTGGTGCTTAGTTGCTGGCTGGGATTAAACCACGACAGGATGACAGGTGGTTATGATTTCTTTACATGTTATGTGGAATTCTAAATTTCAGTCAGTGCTTAACTGTGGACCCCTACAGTATGAGTAGTTCACTGTTGTGCTGTACGTGCAGTGCTGTCAGTCCACGTTCTGAAAATGCTAGTGATTCACTGAAATCTATGTGCATTTATTGCCGTACCTCTTCCTTCCTTTCACGGACAGCATCCGGCTCTACAAATTTATTCCTTGGAATAATGTTGCCTTTCAGTTGCCATCACCCTAGCAATGGATGGAAAATGACATCTGTACTAGGAAAGCAGTTTTCTTTCAGAAAATGGCAACATAGCTTGATTAATGGTTTGATGCAACACAGAGCTCTTTGATGTTCTTGTGTGCAAAGCTGTGAATTGTGGGCTTTGCGTTTCTTCTAATTAGCTAATTCTGAGAAAGTATAGCTATGCGACTGTATAAGAATGATGTTTTGGAATTAGCGCTATAAAGCGCTGCGGTTTTTACCCATGCTATCTGTAAATGAAGATCTGCTGTCACTTTCATGTGTTGTACCAAGACCTCAGAGAGGTCTAGTTATTTACTTAACTGTCAGATGCAATGTGATTTGTCTTGCCTCTTTCTTTCCAAATGTATTGATGATATTTTACACTGTAGGTTGACCTTCTACCTACTCTCCAAAGGTTCTTCAAATCTCCAGAATTTCCAAGTTCCACCTTGTATTCACTGATGTTTTTTTCATTCTTCTGATATACCCTTCTACCTTAAGTAGTATGGCTGTCTCCTCCTATACCACTGTCTCCCTCTTAATACTGTTTTTTGCTGGGGGGAAGAAGGACAAAAGGTTCCTTTTGTACTTGGCTTATGTGAATTTCACATTATTTTTGTCTCAGAACAGGAATCCTCTCATTGGTCTGTAATACTGATGTTTTCTATAAACAGAAGTATTGCATACTAGTAATGTTTCTTCATTTAAAAAAAAAAAATGTTTATTTCAGTGAAACTTGTCACTTCTCCTGTAGTTGAAACTAGGACAGTTTCATTTTGTGTTAATGCAGGGGTTTAAGTATTCCTGTTTCTTCCAAATGAGCTGTTTGTAGAAAGGCAGTCTTCTGACTTAATCTCTTGTCTCTGGAAAAGAGCTGTGTCATCTCCTTTCCTGGCCTCTGGCTAAAAGTTCACTCCTTTTGGTTTGTTTTCCCTGCTTTGTAATATTCTTTCTTGGCATGATATAGCTCTATAAGTAGACATGGCAATATTGCTGAAGGTTTCTTTTAAATATTTCTTCTGATAGATTTATGTTCAAATATTTTGTATGGTGCAGGGATTTTTATAATTACTGAAATAATTTTTTCACTTGTGTATAAAAACAATACCATGAAACAGCTCCTTCCTTTTTGTCTGGTAATGTAAGAAGAGACTTGGAACATTAAAGGGAATAGAAGAGGGGTTTTCTTGTTTTGTGGTGGGGTTTTTTTGTTCTTTTTTGTAGGTTTTTTTGTTTTGGGGGGATTGTTTTGGGTTTTTAATTGGAAAAAGAATTAATGGAAACTGCTGTAACGTTGTTTCACTTCCCCCTCCTTTAAATATGCATTACATATGTGGGCTTTAATGCATAATTAAGTAGTGAAACTTATTTCAAACAGTGTGAAAGCATGGTCTTTCATCTCCTTAGGGTCACATGGTCCTTTGTTGCCATTGCCAAGCCGGTACCGAATGGGATCTCGGGACACTCCAGAACTTGTTGCTTATCCGTTGCCCCAGGCATCCTCTTCTTACATGCATGGTGGAAATCCTTCTGGGTCAGTTGTCATGGTTAGTGGGTTGCATCAGCTAAAGATGAACTGTTCAAGAGTCTTCAACCTGTTCTGCTTGTATGGAAACATTGAGAAGGTAAGGCATAATTTACTAGAAGCTTGGAAACTACTATAGTAATTTTAATTGTTTTGGAAAAAGCCTGGCTGAGATGGTCTAAAAATGTTTGCTAATAACTTACAAAACTCTTGGTTGGGCTGTTTGTTGCAATGTCATTTTTTCCCTTATCTATCTTAGGTGAAATTTATGAAGACTATTCCAGGCACGGCACTGGTTGAAATGGGTGATGAGTATGCTGTGGAAAGAGCTGTCACACATCTCAACAACGTCAAGTTATTTGGAAAGAGACTTAACGTCTGGTAAATATGTTTTATCAGATTAATAATCTTCAGTGGGCAGATGGAATGAGGTTGCAAATGGACAATATCTCATTGTTCTGTTATTGTTGGAGTTACAATTTCCAATTTGCAACTATTATTCATTTATTTATTACTATTTATAATTTTCATTATTATTTTATTAATAAAGCATATGGGCATTACATGGATTGGCTGTTAATAAACTGTATTCCCTAATGTGCCTTATCCATCCTTTCTACAATTTTTAAGGAAGGTTTCAAATCCAATCCATCTTCTTCTTCTATTTCAAATTGTTGTAAAGAAATGCCAGCTCTGTTCTGGTTAGATCGATAATCTGTGTGCAAAGTATGCAAGTCTTAATTATTTAAGAAACTTTAATTACATATATCTCTCTCTATCCTTAAATCCCAGTGTTTCCAAGCAGCATTCAGTAGTTCCAAGCCAGATATTTGAACTGGAGGATGGCACGAGTAGTTACAAGGATTTTGCAATGAGTAAGAATAATCGTTTCACCAGTGCTGGCCAAGCATCTAAGAACATCATCCAACCACCCTCTTGTGTGCTGCATTATTATAATGTTCCCCTGTGTGTAACTGAAGAAACATTTGTAAAGGTAGGCAGTTGAAATGACTGTGACATACAGTGCTTTGGGGCTCAATCCTAGCTTTACGCTTTGCTACTTTTAAAAAGAAATAACTGGGATAGTGACTGGAAGAGAACTGGTTCTTAAAACAGGTTTGTAGCCTCTCTATGTAGGAGTTGCTATTTTCACAATTCTGGCATTATTCTCTCCATTTATTTTTTTTTATTTTTTTTTTATTGTGAGAAACAAGATCTTGGAAATTAAGTTGAGGAGCTTAATGTGGTTTTTTTTGTGGAGGAAGGGGAAAAGGACTCACACGAAGCCAAATAAAGGAAAAGTTAGGACTACAATTCGCAAAAGATTTACTGACTCCCTGAGATGGTTACTCTAATGACTGCTAGGATGTTTTGAAATGGAGAGAAGCACGCACCTGGAACAGTTTGCACAGTTGAGTCCTAAATGAACTCCGGATGCTTAAATCATGTACTACTGGGTCTCTCAAGTGGAGGCAGTGGTAAAATTGGTGACAGTTCAGGGAGTTCTTTTTCAGTTCAGTAAAAAAAATTTTTTTTTTTTTTTTCAAGCTCTGTCTGAAAGTTAACTCTGGTGCATGAGTGGTGTGCTTGTATGTACAACTTCTGAGCTACTGTATTGAAGTGAGAATGTTGAAAAGAAGAATTTGGTTTTATTTAAATATAAAAATTGTTTGAGGTAGTAGTGATAGCAGTACTCTAACAATTTTTGTGCCTATAGAACCATATATATCATGGGACAGTGCAGGTATAGGAGCCTTTTTTTGCATACTACAGAACAAAACATTTTTAAAATAATAATTTGCCATAAATTCTTGGAAGCTCTCTTAAAGAGTCAGTATTTTCCTTTTTGTGTGTCTCCCAGGAACTTGGAATTTTTGCTAATGTGTTTATCTGCATTTTTACTGGAGTTTTACCTCTTATTTTATTTTTGTGACAGTTATGTGAGGATCATGAAGTTCTCAGCTTTATTAAATACAAAGTGTTTGATCCAAAACGTAAGTAAACTTTCACCTCTTTGGGGAGTTATTTGGATTCCAGTTTTGATAAGAGTGGACACTGTCAGGAGATGTTACTGATCCCCTCCTTCCCATTTTTATTTCTCATTTTGACAGCTTCTGCCAAAACACTGTCTGGTCTGTTGGAATGGGAATGTAAGACAGATGCAGTGGAAGCTCTCACTGTACTTAATCACTACCAGATAAGAGTCCCAAGTAAGTCAGTTTTACTTACCTTACTGCTATAAATTTTTTTTTCTTGCTTTCTTTCGTGTTGAACCTGCCTTTGTAAAAGGTGAGGCTTCAGCAGCTCAATCTGCACCTAAAAACTGTGGTGTTCTTATTATATGTATATAAGCTGTATTTTTATAGATATATACATACACATATACTATATATATTACAGTATACAAATACCGTATTTGTATATTATACGTAATACATATATTTTACAGTATTTAATCTCTAGTTTAGGTTCCACTAGTTTCTATCTAAATGGTACTCCTTAGTTTTTGAGTTAACCTATAGAACTCAAAATATGCTCTGCAACTTTGAAGTTACAGAAAGATGGAGGAAAAAAAAATTGGATTGGGATAAAGAGAGGGCAGGCAGGAAAAGCATTAAAATCCACTGTCATCAAAATCAAACCTAAGGGATAATGTCTTACTGAAGCTTTTAATATCTTTCACAATAAATGCAGAGAAATCTGCAATATGTTTGGGTAGAAGATTCTTTAAATTAATACAGCTTACTGCTCTGAATTAACTGCTCCTGTAGTGGGTTCTCTTCCAAATCAGAAATTCTGAGGCCAAGCTGAGTTTAGCTCCAAACTAATAAGAATGGAGGGGAGTTCATGTGCTAAACAAGTACACACTAGGGCAGATCTGCACTGGACAATTAAGATAGTTTACTGGATTAAATGGAATTTTTCCGGCTGTTCAGAGACATAACTTTGAATCCAGCACGATGTCTAATACTATTTTAAACTACCTTCTCCAAACTATTATGGATTTGTCTCCCTGTCAAGTGTTAACAGTTTAAATCTTTCCTATCCCTCCCCCAACCCCGTTTTGCCCACCTTCTCAATAGTGGACTGAGACTACTTCAGGGGCAGAATATTTTTTAAGCTATTATTGATAACATACTATTAATCATTTCAGATTTATTTCGGTTTAGAGAGGTGATAACAGCAGAAGAACTTTTTCAACATGAAAAAGGCAAACCCTAATGCATAATCAAATATAGCTATCACAGGAAAAGGCAGTATTTTAAAACAAGGACTGCTGGTTAAGACTTGCTGTAGTAAGTTTGTCTGAGGTTGACTGAGCCGGGGGGACATATCTTCCGTTACCTGAGAGGCAGATGTGTGCTGCCATCTGCGGGTCTTGGCAGCCTTTCCAAATAGAGGGGAGGGTTGTTTTATGCTTCGCTTTCTGGAGAGGCCTGAAGGGTGTGCTGGACATCCTGCTCTTCTTTTCTCAGTCAAACACGTGTAAATACTATCCAGTGCCACTCTGTCTCTGATGGAAATGCCACAGTCTAAATCTTGACTTCCTTAAATGCCTTTTGCATTTGAAATTGCCTGTTAAGCACTACTTCTATGAAGAGTTCAGCTAGGAAGAGAGGCAGCGATAATGGTAAAGTCTTTTTCATGTATAGTACAACATTTGGAATTCTATCTACATTCCCTTGTGACCAGATCGGTCACTTGGTTTTTATGTCTAAAAAATGCTGGTAGACTATCAATTACACACTACAGGTCATCTGGTATCTGCAGGCCACTGGCGGGGTAGGCAGGGAGGTGTGAGCCTTAAATCTACAGAATTTGTAAACTTGTCAGATTATGCAAGGTGATCTTGATCAGCAGGAGAGCTATGCTCAGTAAAACGCCCCGAGTATGTTATATGTTGTCTCGTTACAGATGGCTCCAACCCTTATACCTTGAAGCTTTGCTTCTCTACGTCATCCCATTTATAGAGAAGAGGACAGCATGTTAAGAGCTCCGTTCATCTTGATTTGCAAGTTTAAAACTACACTTCGTTCACAAAGCTCTAAAGTGGTTGTTCTAATATTGCCTTGTTTCAACTTAATTCTAATATCTTTTATCTTGTTTTATAATAAATGGATGTTCCTTCATAAATACAAAACAGATTTTTTCTTTTTGCCTCTGAGAAGTACATGTTGTAAGCTTACTACAAAGTTTGTATTTTGTTAGTGTAGTATCTTCAAATGTCTAAAGAAGCACCAGTAGTATAAACAAGATTTTCTTCCAAAAATGAAATATATTTGCATTTTCGATAATGTTAAAGATTAGCAAGTATTTTTCCATTTGTAGTCTTAATTGGCAGATAGAACTATTACATCAGAATTTTAAATGTAGAACTTGTTTTTCAGTATCTTAAGTAGTGAAGTATGTTGCAATACTAAAAAGCTTGTATTTATAAAATGCTTTAATCAGGTTAATGTTGCACATACGGAATTTTTAGTAGTATAGACTTGACTTATAGTTCAAACAAAGCTAATGTAGAAAATTAAGTATGTACATGTGTATGGTGTGAATTCATACTTATTTAAAGTGTGGGTTTTGGTTTGGTTGGTTTTTTTTTAAATATTTTCCATTTGCATTAGCATGATGCCATCTATAGCTAGTCCCACCGTAGGGGCCTTTTAAAAATTAAAATTGCAAGCCTGTATCAATGTGTTCATCCTCATTTTCCATAATTTAAACTTAAATCTTTGGTGTTTAACATGTCCTCTTGACTTTTTTTTTTTTTTTAAATAGTGGTTATGGCATACTAAATGGTAAAAGTTGGATATGTGAAAAGATCGATCACAATGGAAACCAAGGTGGTAAAAATAGTTAAAACAAAAAGCAAGCCCCACCATAGTCTCTCATACCTAGACAGTTAATTTGATGTTTTCTTTTGTCTGATTTATCTTACATATGTTATGACCATGAAAGAACTCGTAGGGTGAATAGACTTGGCTAGCCTCTGACTTAAACTGAGGTAATCTAGGTGGGATTCAGATAATGTAACTAATTACATGGTAAGAAATTAATGAGGCGAGAAATCTTTCTCTTTGGGGAAGATGATTTCTTCTGTCCTAGTACTTTGAAACCTCTGTTCTCTCTTCTGGAACTGGAGTTGCATCTTACTTGGGCTAAACTCCCAGAAATGGGAATCCAAGCAGGGAAGTCTGGGAGCTGTTGTCCTTGGCTCTGTGTTTGTTCCCCTTTCAGAATTTGCAGCAAAGTGTTTAGGGCTTCTTTTAGTTCTGCTCTTAGTGATCAGAGAGAAGTTATTTTATCAGATATTTTATGTTTTTTCATACAAGTTTTGTTCTGTCTTTATGGATTTTATCCATATCCATCCTTTATGGAAGATTATTTGTGCAGCATGCTTGTCCTTGAGAGATTATGTTGCAGTATGTTTACAGACTGTGGGCATTGCACATGTCTTTAAATACAGACCAGATTTTCCCCATTCTTAACTTCAAGGCAAATACACCTTATCATACAAGGGAAAATGTGTCAGCTGTCCTTCAGGTTTTCTCGTCAATAATGATTTATTTTTGCCCATCTACCTCCATTTTGTTCATGCTTCAGGTAATGAGTATTTCAGGTATTCAAATCAGGCTTCTAATATGTCTGAACTGGGAACTGAAGGACAGCTGCTCTTTGGCACCTCTTTCTGAATAAGGTTTGGAATAATACTAGCCTCCTGTCTGGTAGGTGGCAAACTGACTTGCATTTTAGGCGCGCTGCTAATACTCTTTCAGCCTCAGTGCTTTTCCCCTAGAAATTGCTTTCAGAGAGCCCCAGTGTAGAAGGCGATGTGCCATATCTTGCTACTTGCCAACAGGATGCTGGGTACTAGTGAAATGTTCTGTGCTGCCTAGTGTTTTAACTGTAAAAGGTCTCTCCTAATCATTCATTTCTCTTCCATCAACCTGAATGTTCTGTTGAAACCTGTTTCTTCTGTCATAACTTGCATTGCTGTTTGTGTTAATGTAGTTTCAGAAGTCAAGTTGTTTGTAGTTGAGCATTAAAAATAGTATGTTACCTGTTGCTCCAGTTTGGGATGTAGGATTAAAGCATTCAGGTGTTTTGGTTTTTAAAAAAAAAAAAAAAAAAAAGGCGCTTTAATGTTTCAGTGTCCTCAGTGGATCACAGCATTCAGTGCCTAAGATGTTCAGGTGAAGGGCATCTTTCCTGTGGCTGCCCAGATAAAACAGAGGACAAACTACTTCCAGGTGTATCTGAGAGGACTCGATACCAGCTGGAAGTCCCAAATGCAAAATGAGTAGCCTGTGCCATGTGGGGAAGAAAAGAGGGGAGACTGAAAAATTGTTCAAGCTTCTTTCTCCTTATAACAATCATCTTATGTAAAAGCTGAGAACAGGAAAGATTCCATGTTGGTGTTTTGCTGTAAAAAGAGAATAATGTCTTCTCTTGGGATTACAAGGATGGATGCTTGTCCTCAGGGAGGAATGAGGTTGGTCTCCTTCCACAAATGAGGTCTGTGTTCACCCATAATCTTGCTCTTTAGAATAGAGCCAAAACAGTGGGGCAGGTGAAGAGTTAGTTGCTCTGAGGGGAGTGAAGTTTGTCTATCATTTGGCAGTGGTATTACTATACTCGTTAGATTAAAATTAAACCATTAAGGTCTCTCAATGCAGTTTTTTCTCTCTTTTGCATAAGCCATACAAGCAAAATAGTGAATATTGCTATGAATATTCCCTGCTTGTAAGCAGCTGGCATTCACACTGTAGTATCTTCGTGTCTGTTCCACTGTTTGGGGTTTTTTGGGTTTTTTGTTTTGGTTTTGTTTGTTTTTTTTTTCCTAATTGATCACCTTTCATTGGAGGTAAACAATATATTGAGGTGGAGATCCGTTTGTCTTCTCTCATGATACTCTAACCCTTGTTTATATTTATTTTTCCTTATATGCAAGAAGTGGGAATAGTTGCTTTTTGACTTTCTGTATCACCACAACAAGATAAGAGTGTATCGCTAGGGTGCTAAAGGATTTTAAAGAAACCATTCAGGAAGTATTTGGGTGTCCTGCTTTATGAAAGGAATGATACAACTTAATGTGGTGTCACTAAGTCTGTCTTTTAGTAAGGGATAATGTTTGGGGTAAGCTGGCTTGTAACTGGCTGAAACCCTCTTTGTTGTAATTAAATGCAACTTGCTCCTTTTCCTGCTGTGTGTTTTCTTGTGAATAGCACTTGAACTTGTTTGAATATTATGATGGCTTAGCAGGAGACATTCAGTCTCTTCTGTTAAATAATACATTGAAGTCTGGGAACATTAACATGCTTGTTTAAATTCCTCCTCCTGCCCCCCCTGCGTCTGGGATGTGTTTAAACATCTTTGGGATTTTTTTGTGTCCTCTTTTGAAAATACCTTGTATTTTCACATCTGTAGCTACTAGTGGATTTTTTTAGCCATTCCAGGTTTTTATGTCTACCCGTCTATTGGTTTATTTCCTTCTGGCAATTACAGAAGTGGTGGTAATCTCAAAAAAAAAAATCTTGTTTGCATTGGCATGGCTTTGGCCAGAAATAGCGTGCAAGAAGGCATGGGAAAATAAAACACTAGTTACGGGCTCAGATTCCTATGAAGAGTTCTTAAAGCACAAAATACCATTGTTCTGATTTTGACCTTAAACTAGATGCATCTGTGCTCTGGTTGAGAACCTCCCACCTTCACATACCCGGTGTATGAAAGGTAACTTAAGAGTTCTGCTGTAAAACTTGCCTTGCAGTGGTTGCCTGTATCAGTTTGTATGTTTGATGCTATGACCAAGCAATGCTCTGGCACGTTGTCATAGAAGAGCTGATGGTGCCCTCTGAATACATGGCAAAAATGTAAGCCTTAAGGAAACAAACCTTGTTGATATGGGTCCCCTGGTAGCAACAGTCCCCAAGAAAGGGAAAAGTGTAAAGGGAAAAGCAGTCTGGTCTCCGTAGAGTGTTTCCTGTGTGTTGGTTAGCTGCTGATACTGTGGTGCTGTCCTACATCGTGGGTTGTGTTGCTCTAAGACAGGTGAGAAAGGCCTCACTGAATAACAGCTAGAGAGAAGTATGTTGTGTGACCTGATTTGTTGTGAAACGCAAAACTGACTGGAGAGTCCTATCTAAGCAAGGGACAAGTGGTGCTGCAAGACCTCTGGAAGGAAGGCAGTGAGGAACAGGGGTGAGCACAGTTCACTAGACCTGCATTTCTCTCTGGGACTGTGGGGCTGACAAGGGTGAGAGGTGGACATCAAACTGCAGCTGGATGAAGTGGTCTGATATGCAGGACCTCACCTAAGACCATCTTACCTTAGAAGCGAGGTGTTTTTCACTTCTTCATTTCTTCTAGCTTGTGCTATTTTTGTTCTTAATTGTTAAGACCACATGTTTTAAATTAATCTAAGCTCTTCCCAGCCTACCTTTGTTTCCGTGAGGAATGGTCTGGGAGTGGACTGGAATGTGAAAAATGTTAATAGTATTCATCAGGGAAGTCTGAGTTGAGAAATACTTGGCATCATTCTTCATCTGTAAAACAAGGGGTTTCCATTTTCCTTCCCTGACCTGTTAAACTGTATGCATGCTAAGCGAGTGGTAAGACAGTATCTTCTCAGTTGTACCATTAAAATTGACGTGTATGGAGAGAGGTGATCAGATGTGATAATGGGATGTTTCTAGCATGCCATTCAGGTTCCTTACAAAAGCTGGCAGGGGCATAGCCAGAGATGAAAATAAGCTGAAACAAATAGCTGTTCAGGATTTGGGATGATGAGGCCCCCAAGTTCTACTGATAAAGCATCTGATTTGACAAAGAGTGAAGAGCTTCCATTTCTAGACAGTTATATTATCAAGTTAAAAGAACAAAATATTTGTGTTCTGTTAAGTGTCCTAATGTGTAATATTCTTTCCCTGTTAGAAGATTTCTTTCTCCAAGGATTGTAATTGCCACAGGATGTGGAGGAACCTAATGCAGCCAGATTACTTGTGCTGTGCTTTGGCCATGTCCCGCTAAAGGAAATAACCTCAGTCCCTTTTCTTGTGTTCAGAAAGCTTTGGTATCTGTCCTGTGCCAAGCCTTCCTGTTCTGGCCTTTCACAGCCAGCTCCCTGGGCTAGAGCCATGCATTAATTCAGATAGGTTTTCTGTTCTTCCTCTTCACTGTTGCAGCTGCTGATGTGAGGTCTTAATTTCTGGCATGATTTATTTAACTTTTTCCTTCCATGATGTTCATGGAGCAGCTGCAGACTGAGTGGGTCTTCATGCAAGGGAATGAGTACTCCTGCAGGGATGTGCCAGGGAGCCAGCAGTTATTAAAAAGACAAGATAATTAACCCTCTTTTCCAAAGCGTCCAGGATCCAGGAATACAAATTAGTCCTGGCAGGGGCAGTATAGCAGTATTCAGAACAAAACACTGAAGTGGGCTTGTAGCATTGGGGATGGCTGAGGTTGGCAGTTGCTGCAGAATACAGAATGTAATTATTCAATTTCATGTAAGCCATTACCTGTTTGTTTATTTTCTCTTGCCACCTTTTCCTCTCTCCATTTGTGGTCTCATCCTTCTTCAAGCTAGTAAGAAAATTGAATTGCAGATGTTTGTGCTCCACTCAGATTTAAGTGGCTAGTAGTCAAATAAGCCCTCCGAAGTTATTAGCTGGAGTGCTTGCTTACTAAAACTCTCCTCTCCTGAATTTTCTGTCACTTAAGCTGTTAATACAGCAGACTTTGGATACTTCAGGAAGCACAATTTGTATTAGTTGATGCTTTCTCTATCATCTAAGTGTAAACTTCTGGCCATTTTAAACTTAATGGCATGGATGCAGGGATTTGCATGTAATATAGATTATGCTTCTATTTTCTCTTCTGTTAACCACA